ATATAAAGTAAGTATTTTAATATTAAAAGTTATTTTTTATTTAATAGTTTATGTTTTTAGTTTTTTTTTTTTGTTTCTCGCCCGGTATCCGGGGTTTTGCCCTGACTACTCCAGACTCGACCAGCTGTGGTGCACCAGAATAGTGGGTGGGTCTCCCAACGAAAGCTGCTGTGTACACAAGGTCTCGAACTCGAGATCTTGCTTAAACTGGAACAAACCGCTTGCTACTTGATCCAACCCCTTCGTTGGTGTTTATGTTTTTAGTTTAATGACTATAAAATGAAACACAATGATTGATTACAAATAGGGAAATACCATATAGACTCTTATTCATTGCACACTTTGTTATACACACTTTCTCTATTACTTTCTATTAATTCCCAAACGCACCCAATCCAATCGGCGAAACAATAAAGTAGGTTATGATTAGTGTAGACAAAATTTGCAATTGCCTCCAATGAAACCTGCAATTTCATCCTTTCATTTTCTTTCTCTCTCTATCCCTCCATCAACACCAGATTTGGATATTTTCCCTTTCAATTTCTTTCTTTTATTGGGTTATTGTTGGATTAATCAATGGAACCCGGGCTACTGGGTTCCTAAATTCTTATCTTCAACCTCTAAATCCTTTCATTTTCTCTCCACTTCCACAACACCAAATCTGAGTTCCTTTACAGGTTCCTACTTGCACAGCTTCATGCTCTGTTTAGGTTAATTTTTTTTTTTGCAAGCCACAAGTTTGGGTTAATCAACGTTCATCCCAAAAAAAAAAAAAAAAAAAAGTTTAGCTTAATTGACTTGATGACTTGACTTTCTTGAAAGTATTTTGTTTACATTTAAAAACAATATCTAAAACTTAAACCTTGAGCTAATGAGGAAAATAATTGGTATATTATTTAATTTAACACATTTGTTAATATTTATCAGTTTAACCATTAAATTATGTAGTTAAAAATTTTTTTGTTTTAAATTTAAATTTTAAAATAATAATTTTTTAATGAATATATTGTGGAGTATACTTAATCAAAAAATATACCAATTATTGTTTTTAATTTTGTTGTTGTTATTATTATTATTATTATTATTGCCAAAAAAGAAAAAGTTAACATTAACAAAGAAGGATTACAATATAGATGGTCTAGAGCCACACAAGATTAATGCCAAATACAAAAGGGGAAAGAAACACATACATAACACACGTTAAATCCAGAAAACATAAGCATTAAGCAACCAAAGAAGGGGAAGTAGACTTCTTCTCTAGCAGCTCATAATTGCTTTCTCTCTCTCTCCACCATAGTTCATGATTGCTTTCTTCTTTATTGATATGAGTATAAAGAGTACTCAACCCATCCAATTACACTAATGAAGTAACTACACGAGTTTACAATGAAAAGTACAAGACAATTTGTGTATACCCAACTTTAACTATGGGTAGAGCAATCCCTTATCTGTAAAACAAAATGAGTATAGATATTTAATACATAGGTGTCTCCATAAGCAAGGTGAATAGCAGAAATAAACCAAGTCAATGGAACTCATTAGTAATAACCAAATTCAAAACAGAAACACTAATTGAATAATCTGTAACTAAGTAATTAATACGTCTAGGGCTTGATTCTTCCAAAATAAAAGTCAACTAAACATTAAGAAGATAGAAGAGTTTAAAGAACTAAATTTTTGTAAATGTGCTTAAAATTCAAAAGAATCAGCTAGCATTTAAACATAGACAAGTAGCAATGAAAGTTCTGATAATATCAATCCAAAATGATGATATCTTTTTCATTTACACTTGATTAAGCAAGCTTTAGGAACTTAACATTCCGGACATGCAATTAGGCTCAAACAATATTATTAAAATTTCATAATTAATTCAAATAAGGAATTTAAAGAGTGTCAAATTCCCCAGCTACCGATCAATAACCGAATGGGCGAAACAAACATCTTCATGCAATTCAATGTGGCAGCAGGAATTTACAGGGGAAAAAATTGAGAAGCAAACAAGCATACTTCAACCAGGAGCATCAATCTGGTCATGTCTTAATGGTATTCACAACATAATATTACACGCAACGAAAGTCAAAGGAAACAAATGAGATTCAAAAGATAAAGATTAAGAGGCGGCATATAAAATGACTAATTTAACCTTCGAACTCTTAAAAGATAAAATGACAATGTGCAGTGTTATAATCATAATTTTTTTATATTATTTTTATATAATTTTTATATATCATTAAATAAATATATATATTTAATATTATAAATTTTATATGAATAAAAAAATTAATAATTTAAATAATACATCAATTTATATTAAAAAATAATATAAAAAATTATTTTAAAATCATTTTTTTATCGGCAATTTACTTGAGATTCAAAAATGACAATTTAATCAAGAGGGAGAAGCAGTTAAACATAGGAAAACAATAACAAATATAAAATTGCTGTCTTTTTTTTGGTGCAAGGATGAAATGGAATTAAGCAGAAACCCCATATTAGTAGCCGAATATACATCAAGACCCGGAGGACCGTCATCATAAACCACAATTAGTTGACAGAGTGACCTAATTTAGACAAAAATTGCTATGTCGATGAAGAGATTTTACGACATGGAAAGTGATGCGTTCACACGGGCCAGGAATATCTTGTCAACACTGGCGGGATTCAGACCGTACGTGAAAATACTGAAAATGGCTTCCCCCATTACCGACTTTCCCCATTACCTACTTTCACAAAAGTGAAACCGTACGTGAAAATACTGAAAATGGCTTCCCCCATTACCTACTTTCCCCATTACCAACTTTCACAAAAGTCAAACCGTACGTGAAAATACTGAAAATGGCTTCCCCCATTACCTACTTTCAAAAAAGTGAAATGCCTCCCCCTTTCGTTCCTGCTCGCTTCCTCCCCACTCAAGACAGCCTGTATATATCCTTACCCCCACCCCACCCGAGCCGACCCGCTCCTTTTCTCACTTCATGCCCTCACAATTTCTTATCAGTTAACCACGCTACTTCTACTTCCTCCTCTCCAGCCATGGAATTCACCTTTGTGTTTTCCGTTTTCGCTTTCTTTGTTTTTGTTTTTTCCCTCTTCCATTTCCTCTTCAATTTCTTATCTCCCAATCGAGGGAATTCCCCTCTCCCACCAGGGTTAGTGGGTTTGCCCTACAACGGTGAAACTTTCCAGCTTTACTCTCAAAACGCAAACGTGATCTTAGCCTCAAAGCAGAAAGCGTATATTCCTATGCCGATTACCAAATTGCCAAATTCTTTTTCCATTTTTTTGGGTACTTTTGTTGAGTAATTCAATAATTGTTCTGTTCTTGTTCTGTTTTTGATATTCAGGTATGGGTCGGTTATCAAGACCCACATATTGGATTGTCCTTGTGTGATGCTTTCAAGATCCACTTATCCTCCCGGGGCATACCCTCCCCCTTGTCGAGGATACCCCCTACCTCCTCAAGGATACCCCCCACCTCCTCAAGGTTATCCACCTCACGGGTATGCACCACCGCAAGGCTACCCACCATCAGGGTATCGTCCTGGTGCATACCCTCCCCCTCGTCGAGGATACCCCCCACCTCCTCAAGGATACCCCCCACCTCCTCAAGGTTATCCACCTCACGGGTATGCACCACCGCGAGGCTACCCAGCAGGGGGTTATCGTCCTGGCGCATACCCACCTGCTGGTTTCCAGGGCGCAACACAATCAGGTATGTTTTTAGATAGGTTAAATGTCAATTTTCAACCTCTTTTAACTTTAAAATTTTACTTAACTTTTTACTTTTAATCATTTTATGCACGTTTTAATTTTAATAACTCTAAAAATTACATAATTTTAGTCCTGATCGTGCCGTTAAAATATGCCTAAATGATTTTTTTTTATAATGTGTAATAACACGTAAAATAATTACCTTATAATTAGTTTAGGTAGACAAAGAAAATTACAAAGTCAGATGCCATAACATCCACCAAGTAATTTACAAATTAAAAGATAAAAAAGGTAATTTTACCCTACTGTCTTACTCTTTGGGGTTCTCCTTCTCTGTCACTGTTCATCTTTCCGTTCTCCTCTACCACTGTAGTTCCCCCTCCCTATTCTCTCTCTAGCCACTTACTTCCTCCCTTTTCTTTTCTCGGCCGTTCGGTCCCTATCTCTCCATCTCTCTTTGAAAATTCAAATCACTAGATTTGAAAGAAGTCATTTCTGGCTTCCAAACAAGCTTTGGGTCCGCAAAAACCCGTATTCGGGTTTCACACACCCAGATTCTTCCAAGGATTTTATTATTGTTATGTTTGATTTTGATTGTCGTTTTGTGTTCATTAATTCATTACAAGGAGTACAAAAATTTCGAAAGAAAATGACTTATCTTACTGTTATTAAATTAGATGATTTATACAATATTATAAATATAAAAAAATAACAAAATTAATTATTAATTAATATAAAATTTATTTTTTAATATTT